CTATACTTCCCCAACTCGATGTCAGGTACCCATTACTGCTAGGTTGGCAGGAGGAGGCGAAAAAAATCTGTGTCCAAACCGAGTCTTGAACCCGGACATTCCGCTTCTGAATCGAGTGCAATAACCGCTCCGCCACTGCACCCTCCATTTGCAGAATTTTTTTTTAAACGCAACTATTACATCTACTTTCAAAAGGGCATAGAAAATATACATTAAAGCTTTAAATGAAATAAATAAAAAGCAAATACTTAAATCATATTATTAAGAGAATGTCTAATAGCAGCGATGAATGTATAGCGAGGCAGGAGGTAGTACAAAGGAAAGAATTCATTGTAGTAATATGTTGCTATCTTTATAAAAGTAGGCTATTTATTAAAGGGCAAACATAAAGAACTTTCTACTGCTACTTCTTGGCTCCTCCCTACTGCTGTCTTTCTGCCACACCCCTGAACTTCTGGTAGGAAAGATCTACTCCTGGCCTTCTCGGACAAGGGCGAAAAATCTCGGAGGGCCCGTGTGCAAGTTGCGCACGTTAAAGATCCCTTGGTGGTCTAAAATCGATAAGAGTAGGCTTCGGCCGCCACCTGGGCAAAATTCAAAATTTCCTACCAACTGAAAATATTAGGTGTGTCCTGCGCGCTCATATGTCCTTATGCAGTTGCGAGCGCCGTAAAACTTTACAAAAACAAACAAAACAAACATAAAGAACAATATTTTAAAAGTTGATCAAGCAAGGCTTTACAATCCTTGCAAGCACATGCCACAAATATAGAAACAGGTAGTAATATAATATATTAGTAGGCAGTTAGAAAACAACAAACATTCCACTGGAAACATACATTGTTAGTCGAAGCCAACAAAAACTGTACATTGTCACAGTTGTTCTTACCGTGGGTTTTGTGCATGCTGGCTTCAGTTACAGTTACAGGGGGGAAAACAGCACTGCTGTCAAAAAGAAGACAGTTTTGCCACTTTTCTTCGTTGCTGTTGCTGCATCTCTGCAATCTCCTGACAGCAAAACTGCTTCAACAATATGTTGACTATGCTGTACAAGGAGGTGACACATGGATTAACTTCCAGGTGATATAGTCCAGGGAAGTCATCAATATACTGACGAGCCTTCTGCGACATTTAGCTTCAGTTGACCATGGGAAAAAAACATAAACATAAGTCAGAAGCTGAAAAAGTCCCTCAGACGGGAAGGTAAGTCCACCGTGATCCCGCTTCTCTGTGTAACTCCTGATCTCTTCTTCTATCCAACTTGTGCTGCCGCTCAGCTCAGGGTGTTTGACAGTCATATACTCTCCTATGTAGTAGAGCAGTGCCATCTTTTCATCACTTGATACACTACTGACAGCATCAGGAATGTCATCCAGTAATAAAATCTCACTCTCGGTGAGGCTCTTGTCACAGTGAGCTCAGACATGTCTGGCCTTTTTAAAATCTATTTCTGGCTCACTTGCCAACATGAGCAAGGTGCGATGTAGCATCTATGGCATGTGTATGTGCAACATCCTCCACAGTGGTGTAGAAGTTGGCACCTGCTGATGTGCGGAAATGCGCGAAGTGCTTTTCAATGTCATCCTGTTGGAAACATCCAATTGCAACCCACTGGTGACTGACCTCCAAGTTTGTTGACAAAAGGTAAAGACACACATCAATAAGTCTCTTGCACGTAAAATATGTAAGGCTTCTGCCGCTGGGGCGGTTTCTCACTAATCTCACTAGTGGAGGATAGCTGGGGTGGTTTCTCACTAATTTCACTAGTGGAGGATAGCTGGGGTGGTTTCTCACTAATTTCACTAGTGGAGGATAGCTGGGGTGGTTTCTCACTAATTTCACTAGTGGAGGATAGCTGGGGTGGTTTCTCACTAATCTCACTAGTGGAGGATAGCTGGGGCGGTTTCTCACTAATCTCACTAGTGGAGGATAGCTGGGGCGGGGAGGAGGAAGGCTGGAGCAGTTTCTCACTAGCAGGTTCAGACAACTTTGAATTTCTAAGTTTTACAACTTCTAATTCACCCACATGTTTTCTTTTACACTCTACCCTACACCCACACCATTCATACAAAAGGGACGGGACAAAAACAGGCAAGTTTCCTTGTTGCAATGACATTTCTAGCAAATGCTTTTACTTTATAGACTGATCGGGTCCCAGGAATAGTCTTCAGGCAGTCTGAAGTCATGCGTCTATCAATTTCCTCAAGCCTCACAAAAAAGAAAACTCTTCGCTTGTGAATGGCACCACAGGTACCGTGGACTTCTTGCTCAAAGCATTCTCTACATAGGTTTAGCATAACCTGGGCATTTGAAATAACGACGTCAGGATTTGATGCCACAAGTGAGGAACACAAACTTTTAACGGTACCCCCAAGGGCATCACAAGCATTTTTGCCATGCCTGGCACCAATGAAAACTTTCTCCTCTTGCTCCTCAGAACAGCTGAGGTAAATAAAAAAGGAGTTTAGACTTGTACTGTCCGGCACAGCTATCTGAAAATATAAAACTCGTTCTATGGGCCCACAAGAGTTAAGAAAATCCGCTGTTTTCTTTAAGAAACAATTTCCAATGTGTGCATCATGCTTCAAGTCACTTGACAAAAAGACTAAATTGTGAACAGTTTGTTCACCACAGGCAGAACAAACTTGGTACACAATTGTGGGGTGAACAGTCACCTGAGTGTATCCCCAGTAGGCAGCCTCGTCCTGGGTGCGACAAGTGTAGTTTTCAGCGAAGTCGACAACCATCTACGCAGAAGATGAGAGCAAAGTATCCCTGAGAATATGAAATTGATTGTGCTGCCACAAATCATTGAATTTGTGAAGCACAAGACCTTGTAATTCTACATACAGGGAGTCAACAAGAGACTCAACGGGTACTTTTTTCTTCACTTTCATCATCTTCGATGAATTCCCCTCCCGCACTTGCTCCCATAAATGAAAGCTGGCTGACCGAGTTAGCACATCAGGTGTCAGTAATGACAGTATTTTATTCTTAAACTCATTCACACCACACTCACTGCATTCACGCCTCACAATTCAATCTTGTGAAAGCCATTCGCGTCACATAATGTGCATTTAAAAAATGACTCAAGGTCTTGTTTCTCTGTGAGAAATGAGTTTAGAATGAACTTTCACTTTAACTTTAGGGTTATAACAAACCTCGCATGCACATTGACACAATTTTTTTTTGGGAAACAGGAAGATTGGGTTCCGGATAATGCCGGTAAAAACTGCAGACATAAACTTTAGCTGAGTGCTCATTCACAAAACGCTTGTGAATACTAAGCATAGAGGAAGAGAGAATTTTTTTTAGTGACGCCCGATTTCAGCACAGCACTTTTCTCCGGGACATCCAGTGCCACCGTATCCAAGTAAGTGCTGAGCAACAGTGTCCCTATTTCTTTTCTTTTTCATGTACAGCTCCCCACACCGCTTCATTTTTAGATCTTATGGTATAAAAGATCTACACCTAGCCTTCTCGGACAAAGGCGAAAAATCTCGGAGGTCCTGTGCGCGAGTTGCGCCCGTTAAAGTTCAAGATCCCTTGGTAGTCCAAAATTGATAAGAGTAGACTTTGGTCGCCACCTGGGCAAAATTCAAAATTTCCTACCAACTGCTGTATCTTTGTTTCATCTTTCTTTCTTCCTGCAATTTGTCTTTTTCTAGTTCTAGGCCATCTGCTTATCTGCCATCTTCGGTTCATTAGCATCCGCCATTTTGTTACATGTACCAATAACAAAGCCACAGGAAGAGGTTTGTCATTGGTCTGTGCTTTTCATGTGTTATGACCGTATGCTGTTGCGAGCACAGTAAAACTCTTACTACGGTAAACTAAATCATGTGATTATTGCCACATGATTTTTACTGGACCTCTGTTGTTTTTCCCTCAAAGTTACAGTACAGTAGACTTCCGTATTCAATATGTACCCGCTGGCACTCTCAAACAGTCTTATGCAGTTGCGAGCGCCGTAAAACGCCATACTAAAAAACCCCCCAAAACTCTCAAACAGTACTCTGTGACAACCGCCATTCTTCCAAATGCCTTTGTAAAAAGCGATATATCTTAGGACTAGTCTTTCTTTGTAAAATGGTACTGTGGGCAACACTCATCGTCACGAGACGGTTAAGATAAAGGAAATGAATAGCTGCGAAATTTGGTTTTTGTGACTACAGCCATTTTTTTCCCCTGTAGTCTTCGACAGAGACATTTGAGTGTTGAAACCAGTAGACAAACTGAATCCACAAGAGGGTAAATATGTAATAAATAAATGAGCAGAGCCTGCCAATATTTGACACCAGACCCTCAGATAGTAAGAGAGAGAGTGAAGAAAGACTTTTTTGTTGTAAAAATCACCCCATTTTTATAGTGTGAATGTTCTATGCTTTGTTGGGTTTTTTTAAGAGCAAGAGAGAAGAAAGAATGTGTGAGAGAGAGAGGAGAGAGAGAGAGAGAGAGAGAGAGAGAGAGAGAGGGAGAGAGGGAGGGAGGGAGGGAGGGAGAGAGAAAGAGAGAGAGAGAGAACTAATTTAAATAGGTTACCAGCCTGTATAGTCTGAATGTGAAGTGCTTTGTTACTTGCTGTTGTTGTTATTGTTTCAGGCTTTTGTTACTTGTGCACTTGCTATCATGCGTGAAGCACAAAATATTGATGGTCAATAAAAAGAGTATTACTATTACTATTAGTTTGTTGGGGTTTTTTTCCACAGAGGGAGGGGGCTCCCATGAAAATTAAAAATATTTCCCATTGTCCTTCCTGATACCAGCAAGTATGATTGAAGAGATTGTTGACACATGCTATTGAGTGTATTTTTTAAATGTTGAGAAAGGTTGTACAGTTGCTATTAAGTTTAAGGCTTGGTTGGTTACACCACTGAAGAATCAAACCAACTTGGAGCAAAGTCTGTGTCTTTCATTGTATGAACTATGAACTGTTTGTTATGTTACATAAAAAGTGCAACAAAGTAAATAAACAGTAAAAATAAAAAATTAACTTTCAGTTTTTGGCTTAATATTTATTTTTATTTGATATATATGTATGAAAACAAAACAACTTGCAACAACACATTATTCCCCTTCAACCGCTCCATTAAGACAGTCAGCACTCTGTGGACTCATCTGTACTGCAACAACTTCTTCTCTCTCTCCCACTCACACTCACAGACAAGATAATACCCATGATGAATGATGTATAGAATGGTTTAATACCCCTATTCAGCACTGTATGGTTAATCAAAGAGGCAGGACCTAAAGTATGATGTCACTTCAATCGGCAACAGGTCCATGCCAAGTTAGTGGACAGTCTTGAAATATCCCCTAAACAGCCTCACAGGGAATTTTAACCAGGCTTATCTTCATCTTAGCCCTGAATGCTTCCATAGAGCATGGCTACTTTGAACACCTGGTATGAACAAAAGACAATGCTTTACAAAAACTCAGCAAGCAAGAATCTCTCTGTTGGCATAAACAATCTAAAAATTCTGTGACTGAACTCCTTTGTTCTACACAAATCAACATCAGTTTTCAAGACAAGAACAGAGCTATAATTTTCGCTGGCTGCCCCTTGCTTTTTTTTAACACAGGTCTCCTCCATCTCTATCAAAAACAAACGCATGAACCCATGCACTCTTTCCCTCAACACATATGAGAAATAGTTGACACTCTCCCTCATTAACTTTCTAAAATCAACCTCCCTTTCCACTCCATAATCCCAAGACCAACCCTGTCCAACAAAATGCCCAGCCCCTCCCTCCTCATTGCTGAATAGCCTCTGCTATGGGGTTTGCGTGAATGGTGACACTCCTCAGTCTTGTCTCATGTAGGGGCTTGTGATTCTTCTCATTCACCGGAAGTTTCTCCATCGTGTCTAGCGTGTCAAATCCGTCAATCACTCTGAAAGATAAAGAAGCTCATGTCACATAGCATAACAGTTGCCAAAGGGCAAAGGTCACTACATTTTAGAGGGGAAAATATGCCAAAAAAGATATAAAAATAATAGCACATGAGGTTGAAATTGAAGAGCCAACCGTGGGCTGCTACCCCGAAGATCAAGTCAGAAAAGTTAATACCAGTAGAAGACAAGGAGATTTTTCTCTGAACTGATCAAGAAAACCTAAAACAGAATTTATAAAACCTATCAGCCACATGCTATCCCAATGCAACAGCTGAAGACATGGGACATCATAGAATAAGGGATTAGACAAAGAAATGGTCAAACAAATAAAATGCCATATTCACTCTGAAAAAGTACCATGTGAGAAAAGTTGGGTTTTTTTCATTCTCTGCAATTTGGAGAAATTCTGAGAACCGAGGATGCAAATGTAGAAAAATCATTGCTCAATTAATTTTTGTTATAGAAGATTCACATTTTCAAGACACACTCACGAACTATGAATGGACAAGGACATGCGCCGGAAAGCTTACGAATACTAATATATATTGATTTACTGACGACAATTGAAAATTTTGACTTGTCAAAGACGTTTGGTTGGAAACAGCTGACCAAGGCAGAAAAAACATTGGTCATAGTCAAAACAGCCAGAATCAATTGCTAAAACACAAGTCTTCATCAACTCCATTTCTAAGAGGACCAAGCTCAACTACCCAAACAACAAAAGTTCAAGAATGACCTGTGGGGGTCTCACATCACAGAGCCATCCACACCATTTCTCAGCATGATTCCAACTTAGCTAAGAGAAAATCTGCCCCAAAATAAGAGCCTTCCATTCAGCCATGTCAATACAACAAAATATTGTCGCTTCTAAGCATAAGGGGGCTATCCCTAAAAAAAAGGCTGTTTTGAGAAAATCGAAGGTAAAGTTTTTGCCCCTTATTCAGTTTCTTTAAAATTAAAAGACAAGGAGAGTTTTTTCTCTATAACCAAACAAATATACATACCAATGAAACCAAACTTCTCCTATAGGTAGGGCAATGCCCACTTTTGGTGTGGGTCAAGATTTCTGGAAACCCCCCAAATCTGGGTTAGCCCGCTTGTCCTTAAAAGCGATCATAAGCAAAATCCAGTGTAGAGAAATCTTACCTCCCAAAGACAGTGTACTTCATGTCCAGATGCGGCTGCTTGCTGTAGGTCAGGAAAAACTGGGAGCCATTTGTGTCAGGTCCGCTGCTGGCCATGGACACCATTCCTCTTGCACTGTGCTGCAGGATAGAGGGAATACTTCTTGGTTAATGAGAAACTGGGAATCACTGGCTCAATGGAGTGTGTCATTGAGCAAAAAATTATAAAGTTTGATAAAAAAAAAAACACACCAAACAAACAGGCTTACTGTTCACATGCTGTTGTCTTATCATACCTTGCAGAAACAAAAGTTAAAGTAGTGTCGGCTATGTTGGTATTTTTGCAATTTGTGAATTTTGTGACATACGGAACTGTCACCATCCCTCAATCCCTCAAACATCCCTAATTAGAAGAAACAAATAAATAAGGTATTTCTACATTACATCTATCTCTACCCCCCCCCCCCCCCACCCCTTTCTCTCTCTCCCCTCCCCTCTCTCTCTGTCTCTCTCTCTGTCTCTCTCTCTCTCTCTTTCCCCCCCTCCCCAGAATGCAACCACATAAGACAAGTTAATAAAAGATAGCATCTGAACTAAATAGTTTTTTTTGTTTTTTATCAAGAATCAAGGGCACATTTTGCTCCTGTGTATGGAAATTAGTGGCCTAGCCTTAGTTTCCAAACAAAAACTCAATATTAACCCTTTGACTGCTAACCATAAGTCCTCTGCGTGTGCTAAGAAAATTTCCACAGTGGCTGTGTATGACATGGTCTGCTTTTTGAATGGCTATAGCTTGCTTACTATAAGGGCTAGATAACAAAGTATATGTCAAATAAAAGAGAAATGAACATACAATCTATTAGTGTCACTCATTTTTAGGTATAAGTATTCTGTAGAAGAATTTGGCTGGTGAAAGTGAGATTTTAAAAAATTCCATCTCCGTATTCGAGATCCCTGTCATCCCGGAGATTAGATCTATGACAAAAACATGCTGCAGATGAATAACTGAAATCTTTGTCATCACAGTCTGCATGTCGGTAAATTTCTGCAATAGCTTGATCCATAGACCTAGTCAACCTTTGCGAAGCCATCGCGGTGAATGTAGACTGCACGCAAAAACCTCAGAGAGGCAGACTGACTTCGTTATTCACGCACAACACACTACACACTATGTCTCTTTGTTTTAGCTACTACATTCGAATCCCGGGACTAATAGCCTAAAAATAGGCATGATCGCATCGGCAAGTGCACAGAGAATACAGGGATGTAACTCTTGTTATTCAAAACTGTGTAGAAATGAAGATATGCACGAAACAAAACAAGTTTTTTTCCGGCGAACTAAGTAAGGCCACAATCCACACAGGAGTGAATTGTTAAGGCGTACCAGGTTCGCCCACAGAGCAGGCAAGGGGTGAAACAGCACAGAACTGTACCTCTACTACACAAGTAACTAACCTTGATACTTTCTCTGAATTCATCCTCAAATTTGGAGCCCCATATGCTTTTACCACCTTTTCCAGTACCTGTGAAGAGACCAAAAACATAAATCTGTTACTTTTTGGACAAGAAAATTACAGAGGCAGCAAAATAATCTTTGCATCTATATATATTCCTACCAATCAAAGGTTTCTGTGAGTCTAATTTCCTTGTATGGCCTGTTCGATCCATCTGTCAGTCTGAGGATAGCTGGCGGGTGCTCTGAATTGGTTTCAACCAGGGGCGGCTCGTGGGTCTAAAAAGTGGGCGTGCACAATAATAATAACATTAAGCTATCGCATGCTGAAGAAAGTCATAGGCATAGTAAATGAGACGCTGTATCATTTTAGGATCTTTGGGTTGGTGAGGGAAGGCCTCGTGCTTTTAATACCTTTATTTTCATTCTTTTTACTTGCTGCTTTGATTTCTAGTACTAAATTTGTTTGTTAGCTAAACATCAGTTTCGTTCATCGCGTATTGGAACTGAACACTCAAGTACATGTATTAACTTTTACTACTCAACTACAAAACCATTCAAAGGCACAACTCATAGGACGGTCACGTTCACCTCCCTCAGGTTCGCGGTTACAGAGCCACTTAAAATAGTGGCAAGACAAACAATGAATCTACCACAATTCACTGGAGCACTCTGCTGGATTGCTCCGGGGCTCACATAATTAGCAAAGAATAGCGTAGGGTCTGTCATGTTTATTTTTAGACTGCCTACTGTGGGCTATGTTTCGGCACTATTCGGCAAGAGCACATTTGAGATGTGCCGGCTTATTAATATTAATGTACCGCCAAACTCGCTACGAGTGTCTTCATCGCTTGGGTTATCCCAAAGAGCGATTTATAGGTCAGGTCACACTGTTGAATATCTTTTTCTATTTAGCTAAAGCGCGTGGACTTTGGCATGGCATAGTACAGTGGAAACCTGATATAACAGGGATGGCGGGAGTAGAGAAAATGTCCTGTTGTTATATCCGATCCCTGTTAAATCAGAAATGCAAGGAAAGTAGGCATTTGTGGACTAATCCAACTGTACTTGTTAATGGGTAGTTGCCCTTGCAACAAATACCCACGAACAGGTTTTTTTTTTAGCACCAACTTTCTCTTTGCCTCTTTAAACCACATCAGAAGAGCTTGGTCCACAGCATCTGCATCGGGTAGTAGTCTCATCTTCTTTCGATCCAGAGCAAACTTCCCATTGGAGTATGCTGCCACTATCTTCTCTCTATCCTTGATAATGGTGTGAATCGACCCTCGTGGAATGTCGAACTGAAAACAAATCTCTGCCAGCGGAGCTTGCTTTTTGTCAACAGCCTGGATTATTTCGTATTTTTTGTCAATTGAAAGGCATTTTCTCTTGCGATTGACATCGTTGGTGACACATTACGCGCGTGTGTTGCTAGTTTTCGGGCTAGATCGAGGTCTGCAGCACACCGCAGCCCTCTCTTGCTTCACAAACTGCGTGTGCTTCCTGTGGCATGTGTTGCGTGGGCTTGCTCCATCACTGTGTTACTCTCTCTCTCGCTCTTACTTTTTACACATTGTTAACAGCCTTTGTCCCTGCTATAACCGGTTGGGCTCCGATGAGGCCCTGTTATTGCCGATAACTTTTAATAGAGACAAAGAGTAGAAGAAAACGGGGATTTTAAAAATCCCTGTTATTACCGGATCCCTTTTATTACCGGGCCTGTTATATATGGTTTCCACTGTAGATATTTTACGGCGCTATAGACATAGAAATGACAGTTATGGCGCCAATGAGGACCTTTGTTTTGATATAATATTTGGCTAGGGTTTGTTTCTGGTTTTATTTTATTTTATTATTGTGGGTGTTTCATGTAATAGAACATTAAAAAATTTCGGGCGGCACTGCACGACCATGCTCTATGAACGAACCGCACCTGGTTTCAACACATTTGCTCCTTCCCTCCTATAAAAAATCAATCATCGTTTAATGAATCTCTCCTCTTACTTTTTTGTGTCTGTTACTCTCTTGTAAGACCTCTAATCTTCTGCGCTTATATGACTATGACCTTATTGTGTCGCAAGAGCCGTACAACATTTACAATAACAAATATAACAAAATTGCTTTCTGAAATAGATACAACATGGTGTCCTTGTTAAGTTTCACTTACCAGATGGGTCTCCAGTCTGAATCATGAAGCCTGGGATATTTCTGTGGAATAGGTTGCCATTGTAGTAGCCACTCGCACAGAGAGCAAGAAAGTTCTGAAATTAAAAAAACAACAACAGTAAAACAAATTTTCAAGACTTTGACAACCTTACATTGTAAACAGACTGAAAAACACGTTCCTGTTAATATACTGCGTTTCTCTCATCCATTCAAAAAATGAATAAAAGCAACTATTTGATGGAACAAGAACAAAATAAAGCGTATTTCCATTTAAAATATAGGATCTAAACAGACCCAAAAACACAGAAAAGCAATACTATCCCCTAATCTTACAGCTATAGTCGAACCTGTCTGTGACACCCACCCATTGTCAAGGAGAAATGTCATCCTCTTAGACAGTGTCAATATAATAAGGGAAAACACAAGGGGGAAGAGGATATTTGTATCTTCCACAGGTGGTCTTTAGTGCAGGATTGACTAACTCTTAAAAGGAAAAGGTGTTAATGCAAAGTGACCCCCAGGTAGGCCTACTAAGCAAAAATCCCAAAAGGTTTCCCAATAAATGTGACTTTCGAGAAAGAGTTAAATAAAATCACAAGTTCAAAAACCTACTCAACAATATCAGTCAGGGTAAAGAAGAATGAGCCATATTCAGTGGAGTCCGCAAAAACGAAACATGGTTAATCTGAAAACAGCAGTAAATCGAAAGAAAATAGAATCCCTCATTTTTTTATTTTAAAAAAAAAAATTTTTTTTTTTGGGGGGGGGGGGGGGCTATTTATGGGTAAACTAATAAACTGAAGAAAATCTGGTGGTCTTGCAGATTTCTGTTTAAGTCTCAAGTCTAGTGGGGGGGGGGTTCAGGATGGCATTGATTTTATTTCAGTCAGCCTTTTCAAACTGGACAGACATTTTTATTTTTACTTTAGAACAAAATTGACAAACTTTGAGAGCACATTCTAAACAACCTGCAAACATGATAAATCATTTCTAATTTTAAGATAGGCCTACTTCAAAATCAAAATGCCAGTGTTGTCTTTTTTGCATTAAAAACCAACAATAAATCTGTGTCTGTTAAGTTAATGATAATGCCATATGTCCCTGTGACTGTGCGACAAGTGCAAAATATTTTCTAGGCTTCAGAGGTTCCAACTGACTGAAAAAAATCCGGAACTTTTCGGACTCCCGTTGAAATGCGTGCCTGGGGACTCAAAATTGATATAAACACACCATCTAATCTTATACCAAGGATGTTTTTTTACAAAGAACAATATGACATGCACAAAGAGATTAAAATATATATACATTTTATTAATGTATACCCAGGAATTTATTACAAAATCCAGACAATTTCAAAGTCCTGATTTCCAGAAAATATCAGGAAAATATAGCACTTCTGATAGTAACAAACTTACCTCACACGTAATAGGGCACTGTTCACAAAACAGTTCAAGTTTAAGATCCCCAACGTCCGTATGCAACGTCACCGCCTAGAGGAACAATCAAAGAGGAAAATTTATATAATGTCAAATCAAAGTGAATCAAAGTAGGAATAGGACGGGATAGTTATCAAATGAAGAGATCATTTTTTCAAAGATTTATTTAAGTAAAACTGCAATCAATTTAATAACAAGTCTCTTCCCTGATGGCCTAATTTCATAGTTTACTACTGAATACAGAAATTAGAATGTTCAAAGGACTGCTTCACTCATTCAAGACGTTGTAACAGAGCATCATGATGTAATTTAGGTTCAAAGCAAAATTCAAGGGCCAAAGGTACACTTTCTAAAGACTATTATGTTATGATGAAACACCGCAAGGGCAATTAGGTAGCTGACATTTAACTGAAAACTAAGACTAAGAAGCTTTTTAAAAAAATGTGTGCACATGTTTGTGAATGTCATGTGTTGCTTTGTTCAAATAGAACATTGCCAAATACAGTGGAACTCTGTTTCAACAAAACTTGAATTCAACGAACAGAGTTGGATTCCACGGTTTGTTTTTATTCATGTAAATAGCAAAAACAGCTCGGATTCAAAGAAAACATAACTGAGCAAGCTCCGATTCAACGAAGACGTTTCCAAGGTGAATTGCCTATATGGGACCAATCAGCAGCCTCTTCTCATGCTAACACACGCCTTATTCTCACGCACACATGTTCTTAGCGTGCGTTGTGATTGGACGAGTGGCCAGCACAACACAAGTGTATGATTGAGTGTGCCTGTATCTCGGGGGATGGGACGAGGGGGTACAAGCGGTAGTGGCGGTACAGACGTGGAACGTCAGCAGGGATACAATTTCCCAGATTACTGATCGCTATCTCAGTGACATAATAAGCTGGTCTTGAACTTAAAATAAATCTACATAATGAATATAGTGCACTGGACTGTGGAATAAAACGTTAAGCTAGGCTAGGCCCTACACAGCAACATAACTTGTTCGGCAAACAATACGTTAATTAGATGTTATACACAGGCGTACATTTCCTCCTCCTCGTCCCCCCGCTTCTTCTTCTTCTCCACCCTCCCTCCCTCCTCCTCCTTCTTCTTTATCTCCTCCTCATTCTTTTTCTTCTTTATTTCTTCTCTTCCATCTACACCTCGGATCCTCCTCCTTCTCCTACTCAATTCTCCTTCTTCTTTCATGAGCACTCAGTCCGCTGTGAGAAGACAGTCAAAGGCGCGAGACCGAAACCGGGAATTCCAAGAATACCCACAGGTTCAGCCAATCGTAGCCCGGTTTACGCCCTGCACGTAGCCGCATGTAGTCCCAACGACTTCGTTGAATACGAGTTTCACTACACTAGATTCTAGATCTAGATTTCTACGTTGTAGGCTACTGTCACTGAGCTGAGTGAACTAACAGAGCCGAGTACTGGCACTGATGTGATTTCTAAACTAGATTATCTAGAGTCTACAACAACTTCAGTTCAACTTACCATGATAAATGTGAGAACAGCTTGATGTGAGGAACAATGAAGATTAAATCTAGATCTAGTCTTCCCAACAGAAAAGCAAAACAAAAGAGCACTATTCTTGCGGCTTCACAATCTTGACCATGTTTTTACAAAATTTTAAGTCTTGTTTCGACTTTCGAGTTTTTTTAGACAATAGTCGACAAAACGAAAAGCGAAACTAAATTAAAGATGGGAGTGACTTCCCTTTTCTGTAATGCCAGTTGGCATACAGAAATAAACTCGGTTGAAAATACGACTAACTGTTTACCTGTCCACTTTGTTTCGCGATATTTTGTTCTAGTTTAATTAATTCGTCCTTTCACTGTTGTTCTTAATAAAAGTTAAAGACTTGAAAAAGAAGATGCATACTGAATTTACCTTCTGTTTGAAATGTTTTTGTTTTTTTCTTTTTTGACCTCCATACATGTACTACTTCAGGAAGAAAAAGGACAAGAAGAAGAAGAAGAAGCTGAAGAAGAAGAAGAAGAAGCTGAAGAAGAAGAAGAAGAAGAAGAAGAAGAAGAAGAAAAAGAAGAAGCTGAAGAAGAAGAAGAAGAAGAAGAAGAAGAAGAAGAAGAAGAAGAAGAAGAAGAAGAAGAAGAAGAAGAAGAAGAATT